ACTAGAACTAACACAAGACCTAGAACTAGAATCATTCGGGTTTAGCCGTCTTGAGAGACGTGCGGCTAAACCCGAATGCTTCTAGTTCTAAGTCTAATGTTCTCGGTCTAGTGTTAGTTCTAGTTTTGCACTATTATTAGAATTAACACAAGACCTAGAACTATAATCATTCGGGTTTAGCCATCTTGGGAGACGTGCGGCTAAATCCGAATGCTTCTAGTTCTAAGTCTAATGTTCTCGGTCTAGTGTTAGTTCTAGTTTTGCACCATCATTACAACTAACACAAGACCTAGAACTAGAATGATTCGAGTTTAGCCGTCTTAAGAGACGTGCGGCAAAATCCGAATGTTTCTAGTTCTCGGTCTAGTGTTAGTTCTAGTTTTGCACCATCACTAGAACTAACACAAGACGTAAAACTAGAATCATTCGGGTTTAGCCACCTTGAAAGACATGCGGCTACATCTCATAATGTTAAGCGGATTTAAAAAATGATGTAGCCATAATTTACCCTTAGGTTTTAGAGATATTTACAAGAATGAAAACGACCAAGTTAAGCAATAAAAAAATTAAATAAATCGATTCAAATTTGTATTCGTATTAAATGTAAAATTAACATTTTTTTTTTTTAAGTAAAGAAAAATTATTTAATCCCAATTTAAATATTTAATTATTCCCCAGTTAATAATTGTTTATCGGTTAATCCGTAAGTACTCGTTTTTCTGACATCGCCCCCAATACTAATTTCCTCAATAGATCCCGGTTTTCCTTTCTTAGTTTTCGGTAAAGATGATAATGCTTTAACCCCGGATTCTTGGTGCTTCTTTCTTTCTTCTTGCGCTGCTTGTAACGCTTGCTGTTCGGGGGATGATAACTCCAATAATCTTGGATCCATAGCGATCCACTCGGATGTTAAAACCTGATCAACTCGATATCGTTTATTTATATCGGGCTCGAGTAAACAAGCTGTTAACTTTTTAACTTGATCGCTTAATAAATCAACGACTTTAGCGCGAAATCTCCACCTTTTATTTGTTTGTTGTTCGTATAATCTCTTAATATTTCCGTCATCAAACGGCATTGCTTTATTAAGCATAATATAAAGAATAACCCCCACAGACCATAAATCAGCTATTTTAGGGTGATATGGGATACCACGAAGGATTTCGGGGGCTGCGTAAGATAACGAACCACAATAAGTATCGCTGGTTATTTTTTTACCACTCCCATCAACTACATATCTCGCAAAACCAAAATCTGCAATTTTAACGTTGTAATTCGATGTAATCAAAGCATTCTCGCATTTTAAATCGCGATGTGCCACATCCATTTCGTGTAAATATTGAATACCCAACGCTAATTGTCTTAGCCATACCCTAGCTTGAGCTTCGGAAATGGCACCCTTCTTTAAAATAAATTCTAACAAATCACCATTTTCCGCAAAACGCATAAAAACGAAATATTTCGATCGACGTTGAAAAATATTTTGGATGTGCACTATATGGGGGTGATTCAATTTTATTAAAATATCTAACTCTCGAGGAAGAAATTTTTTGACAAAATCTTTCGGGGCAACCGATGTATCAACCACTTTACAAGCCAATTGTAAACTTTTATTTTCTTTGGGATTTCTAAAATCGGTCAAATACACTTTTGCGTACGACCCCTCACCTAGTTTTTTTAAAAGCTTGTAACCTTTCGAGGCGAGTGCTAATTCTTCTGATGGGGTGGTGTCTATGTCTTTGGACATGTTTAAATTGAGATTTTACCATAATTTTTCGATTAAAACGTTTTTATTTTCACTGGAATTTTGAGTTGGAATAAATTAAATTTTTATGACAAATATGTCAAAAATTATTTATTAAAAAATTCACCATACAAAGACATTTTTTGGATAAACGGTTGAGCGTTACAACTTAATATTTCATATCTTTCACTCCAAGTGGAGTTTATTGGAAATTTATTATCTTGACGAAATCTCTCCAACATCTTTTGCGGATCAAATTTTTCTTTGAATAAAGGACCAAGTTTTTTTGATTTTTTTTCCTGTAAAGTTTTCGAGATATTTTCTTTTTCAATTAAAACACTATTATTATCCTCAGTTTTTAAAGTAACAATTTCATAACTCCCTACTCCAGTATTTTTTAAATCATCTTCATCTCGATTATTTTCTTTTTTATCAACATTTTCAGGAAATTTTGTTGATCGTCTTTTAACATCCGAGATTGATTCACCACGGAACACATTTCTCTTTGATTTTAACTCGGAGAAATCATAAAGTTTCAATTTGGGGATATCATAACAACAATGCAAAGCGCTCGGATCAATCGGATGAGCTTCCGTGTTGAAGATATAACCCCCGGCGTAAATGACACATTCACCGTTTGGTGTATCGATGATTGTCCCGGATTGGCCTTGATTATGAATGAAATTATCTGGGTCAAAAAGGAGATATAAGTACTTAGTTGTTTCCGCTAAAAAGAAAGATTCCATTCTATCTTCTTTCCGATGATCTCTAACATCTTTAATCTAAAAAAAAATTATTTAAATATACAGCGTAAAACCAAGCCGGTTATAACGAACTTCCGGTTATAACGAACGAACGTAATAGTCCCGAAAAAGTCTTTATTTAATACAATCTAAATAAATTTGACTATAATGAATGCGGTTATAACGAACTAATTATTATTGAAGTGGTTCCGGCTTTAACAAATTACCTGATTGAGTGAATTTATATACATTGAACTTATATACAATTTGATTCTGCTATTTTTTGAAAGATGGCGCCATAATATTTTTCTTATTTATCGGGGAATCACAGAAAATACTCGATTCTGGCGAAACAACTAACGTAAGTGTTAAAAAAATGCGAAAATGTAATCACGATGATGTAGATAAAGCTTAGAAAATTTTAAACTTAAAAGCAACGGAATTCGGTCAAAAGTTACAAGATGACTTCGAATGTACTGAAAGCTGGACAGAGCGATGGAAAGCACGTCATAACGTTTGTAGCGGTATAATAGTTGAGGAATCAGCAGCAGTAGATCCAAAAATCGTCGACAATTGGATACCCTGAAGGTTCCAAACACCATCAAACCTAAATCCAAATTCAAAGCAAATTTTCATTCAATTAATCAGTCAATATAATGTTCAACTCCTGTTGCCACACAACTAAACAACATGCTTATCTCCAATCCTAAATCACATTTCTGCAATACACAACCCAACCCATCCCTCAACTCTATCTAATCTTAATCCATTCAACTAAATTCCAAGCTTATCATCAATAAATACAACCATAATCTTTCTATCCATCCAACCCTAATTTCTGCGTCACCACAAATTTAAACACAAAGGTAGGTCCAACTTACATACAGTTAACCACATCTTCATCGTACCCTACTCTAGTCAGCTTAACACAAACAAAACCTCGTCTACATTCAAGTCAAATCTCTGTCCAACTCCAACAAAGCTTATTCTCATCTACCGCGACCTCAACCTAATCAAATCCAATCGTATCTTCGCTAATTCCAACACAACCCAACATCAAATCTAACTAACCTAACTCAAACCTCCATCCAACTCTATTTCATCTTAAGTCAATCCATCTCAATCTTTATCCAACTTAATTCCAAGGTCGTCTTCAACAAACGCTATCATAATCTCACCCTATTCTGCCTCACTTTAAATGTAAATTGATATTTAAACCGAACGTATCACAAATAAAATATAGTCTCAATTCAAGTCAATTCAAAAAAATATATCAATAGAACACAATTTTAAGTTCATCTCTGTCCAACTCAAAATAAATCTTATCTTCATCTAGTTTGACCTCAATCTTATCCAACCCAATCGCACCTCCAACAACCCTAATACAACTCAACTTCCACTCCAACGAAGCCAACCGCAAATTCACACCCATCCAATCTAACTCAACCTTAGCATTAAGTACAGTGTGTTAATTAATTATCGTAATCCACGTGACTTGTGTGATATTGGCTGCATATCTCAATATGTTGACAGCTGATCGAACGTTATTGTTGCGATTGTCATACGCTTTGTGAGTTTCCGTATTTTCTTTGTTCTTTAACCGTCTTTTGCTTCAACTATCGTTGTGTCTAGTAGTTACTTTCAACATTAATTTCAATCTATGGGTACACTAAAAATTATTTTAAATAAAAGGACAGAAAGCTAGCCCTTTTTTATATTTAAAATATTTTTTTAATCATTAATATATATCTAAATATATTTTAAACGGCTTTTAAAGTTAATGAATTGTCGCCATCGTTTTTAGGAACTTTCGTCGCGTTGCAATACNTTCAAAATAAATCTTATCTTCATCTAGTTTGACCTCAACCTTATCCAACCCAATCGCATCTCCAATAACCCTAATACAACTAACTTCACACCCATCCAATCTAACTCAACCTTAGCATTAAGTACACTGTGTTAATTAATTATCGTGATCCACGTGACTTGAGTGATATTGGTTGCATATCTCAATATGTTGACAGCTGATTGAACGTTATTGTTGTGATTGTCATACGCTTTGTGAGTTTCCGTATTTTCTTCGTTCTTTAACCGTCTTTTGCTGCCTTTATATTTTTCGAAACAGTACTTTTTAGAACTATCGTTGTGTCTAGCAGTTACTTTCAACATTAATTTCAATCTATGGCTACACTAAAAATTATTTTAAATAAAAGGACAGAAAGTTAGACCTTTTTTTGTATTTAAAATATTTTTTTAATTATTAAACATATCTAAATATATTTTAAACGGCTTTTAAAGTTAATGAATTGTCGCCATCGTTTTTAGGAACTTTCGTCGCGTTGCAATACCAATCTGTGATATTGGTTGCATACTTTGTCGGGTACGATAATTAATTAACGCACTGTACATCCACTTCAGCTTACATCAAATTCCAAACTTAAAATCACATAAACTTGCAATTAATCAATAATTTTCAATTGAACAATATCCTTAACAACCTCATTATCATCCAACATCTCTTATATCCAATCCAACTCAACGCATACATCAAGATAGTGTCTGAAGACGCACGGCTAAACCCGAAACTTTCTAATTCTAGGTCTAGTGTTAGTTCTAGTTTTGCACTAACAGTATCTCTAGACCTAACACAAGATCTAGAACTAGAAACATTCAGGTTTAGCCGTCTTGAAAGACGCACTCCTAAACCCGAATGTTTCTAGTTCTAGGTCTAGTGTTAGTTCTAGTTTTGCACTAGCACTGTCACTAGAACTAGCACAAGACCTACAACTAGCAACATTGAGGTTTAGCTGTCTTAAGAGATGCATAGCTAAACCCGAATGTTTCTAGTTCTAGTGTTAGTTCTAGTTTTGCACTAGCACTGTCGCTAGAACTAACACAAGACCTACAACTAGCAACATTGAGGTTTAGCTGTCTTAAGAGATGCATAGCTAACCCGAATGTTTCTAGTTCTAGGTCTAGTGTTAGTTCTAGTTTTGCACTAGCACTGTCACTAGAACTAACACAAGACCTACAACTAGCAACATTGAGGTTTAGCTGTCTTCAGAGATGCATAGCTAAACCCGAATGTTTCTAGTTCTAGGTCTCTCAAGACGTCTAAACTCGAATGTTTCTAGGTCTTGTATTAGGTCTAGTGATAGTGCTAGTGCAAAACTAGAACTAACAGCATAGCTAGAACTAGATTAGAACTAAATTTTTCGTGGAGCGATGAATAATCATTATTCACGGGTAAACAATTTGACAGACTAATAACCTTCCGATAATAATTATTTGAAACGTCAAAATTTCAAAAAACCTCAATTTAATTTAATTTTTTAGGACTTTCTAAAGGTTTGACATTAAAAAACCTAAACAAATTTTTGTTCTGGTAATTTAAGCATAAATTAATTAATTTTCGTAAAAAAAACATTAAGACATTTAATTTTGACAAATTGTTGTGAAGTTGGTTATAGTTGGTATCACTGAATATGTGTCACATTGACGTTTAAACTTTATTCAAAAACGTATTTAAAAAATAAATTTATGGAATTTATTAAATAATTTTGCTAATGTGTATATTGAAAGGATGGTTTGCAACAAATCCTCAAATTCAAACCAATATTACCGAGTTTTTTAAATAACTTGTTACTTTTATTTTTTTTAATTTCTTTCTAAATTGTTTAATTTTATTCAATTTAATAACGATTATTGTTAATTTAATTTAAATAAATTTAATTAATGATTTTTTAAATTATTGCCTATAACGAACCGATTTTGAGGTTCATTGAGGGTTCGTTATATCCGGACTATACTGTATTTAAATATATTAACATCAATAAAAATTTTCTTACCGTCGCATATCCACAAGGAGTTTTAGCACTATATTGAATACTTCTCAAAATATCAACCCCAACCTCAAGAAGATAAGGATCTCCTGTTGCTCTATAAAGATACATAACAGATTCAATTAATTCAGGCCTTAATGGGTAATTTTCCCGATTAGCGCCCGCTTCCATTTGCAAAATGTTATAAAATTCAGGTGTGAACCCATATTGTTGCCAAACTTGATGATAATTATGCAAAGTTCTCATCGCAGAGGACGTCTCCCCTATTAAACTAAGCACCCCGGGCCAATAAGCCTCCAAAGATTGAAAAACGGGTATAGTAACCTGCCCCTTTGTCATCGACACCCACAAATACCAATCATCCCGTTTTAAATATTTATCGATTCCTTTTCGTGCTTCATAAAACATCTCTAATAATTCGGGTTTTTGCAACAAAATCGATCCTTTAACTAAATATTCAAAATATGAATCCACCCCAGAACCTATCCCAGAATCTTGAGCCGTCCAGCGACCAGTTGCCACATCAATATGATTTCCAAACAAACCTAATTGCGATTGATGATGATATAAAGCGTTTAAAGCATTTGTTGCCACCTAAATCTTAGTTATTAAAACAATATCTAATATAAATCATTAATTTTACTTCTTCGTAAAGCGGATCTCCCGTTAATCGACTCAAAGTACCAAATTCCAAAATAAACGTCCCAATTCCAGCAGTACAAGTAACCGTTGTTTCCCCGGGTGGAATTCCACTTCTCAAATTAATTGTACCGTAAGGCATTCCTGTTGGTGTATCAAACGCTACAATAAGTCTTTTTGCAACATCTTCGGCTAATCGCAAAAGGGGACCGTTACAAGGCCATCCAGGTTCAAGTTTAGCACCTGCTCTATTTAAAACGATTTTAGAAAGTATTTAATTTAAAACCGTTGATCATACTTATGTGATAATAAATGGGCGCTGAGTAATCCTCCAATTATACGTATATTTGTCTCAAAAACCGAGACGTTTATGTTTGAATCAAAGTTTTCTTTAGCTGTTAAGATTTCAGCAACACGTTGAAATTCCGTATAATTACCCATAATTGCTAAAGTATCTAATGCGTCTATTAACGTTAAAGAGTAACTGCCGTACGTATCTATTCCATCACACGATAAAGGTCTTAATTCATCGTATGGATAAGCATATTTTAAATAACTATCATAAGCGTGGTAAAACATACCTCTTACTTCTTCTCTAAAATAAAGGAAGATAATTAAACGGGGTTTAAAAAAGACTTTAATTTACCTAAACTTGATAATATCTTCTTTGGTGTAGCTATTTAATCCATTACAATAATTACAAAGAGTTAATAAAATGATTGTTAACCACATTTTCATAATTGTGACACATAAACGTCAAAATTGAGGTTATGTAAAATTAATGATTATGTTTAAATAACTCGATTAATTATATTTTATACATACAATAAGTATTTTTTTTATGTTTTGATGAAGTTGATCAAATAATAAAGTTGATTAAATAAAATAAAAAATATGTTAAGTTAGGTTAGGTTTATATTTGACGTGTCGAAACTTTATTAAAAGAATTTAATATAAAAATTATCTTATAAATTAAACAATTCTTGTTTATTTTTTATTTTAAATAATTATCTTTCTAATTTTATAGTTTAATTAAATATTTAATTGTAAATTTATTTTTTTCATAACAAAAATTAAAAATACCTTTGATGTTAAGTTAGTCATATTTAGTTTTAAAAGTTTAGGTTGGTAGGAAGGAGAGGTTAGGTTCGAGAAAAATGACATGTAAGAAGAAGTAATGAATGTTGTTTATTTAATAAAAGTATATTTTAATATTAAACGGAGTTTAATATAACAATTTATTTAACTTATTAACACAAGCAACTTTAAATATTTGTGGTTTTTTCAAAGATTCGCTCATAACCGCAAAAGGAAATTCATCCATCCCATTACAAGAAGCCCCAAATTCTCCGTTTTTATTCACGGCTATTACTGCACCCGAAAAACTGGGGTAATGCTTAATCATTCTTAATATAGCTTGATTTGAAGCATCTTCCGGGGTTGCTCCACGTCTCATCGCTTCAACTGCCAAAAGACTACAAAAAAAATGTTATGAACATAAAAATAATTTATTATTTAATATACCTCGGTAAAAATCGAATCATAGTGTCCCCATCTCCAGTTGCAGCAGCCCCACCCACTTCGCTATCAGCGTAAGCCCCAGCGCCAGGAATTGGCGAATCCCCAACTCTCCTAAAACCACACAAAATTTGTTTTTGTTTATATTAATGAATTATTTTACCCTGCTATTTTATGTCTTAACCCATTTGTAGAAGTTCCTGCAATTATATCACCATTATGGTCAACAAGAACCATCCCGATTGTATCATGAGTTAGCCGCACATCAATTTCAGAGTTTCTTATGTGATTTTCATAATTAATATTATTTTCATTAATGGGATTATATGGCCCACAAGAACTTGATGGATCAGGCTCAACATTCTTTTAAAAAGAATTAAATTAATTTAAATCTAATCAATTTTAGCTAAATTATTACAATCCAATAATTTGGTTGGCAATTCCCATTTTTCCAATCATCCCACACTCCAATCGAAGTATTAGTAGATAAACTTTCTTCTTTAAACCCCATGGCTTTTGCAAATTCCGTAGCTTGGTCGCCAACTAACATTGAGTGTTTGGTGTGTTTTAAGACATGTTTAGCTACGGAAACGACGTTTTTTATGCGTCTAAGCCCCGCGACAGCTCCAACGTTCATTGTACGCCTAAAATCAATACAATCGCAGCTTTATAAGTGATTATTTCACCAAGTTACCCATCAAAAATTAACGCATCTAAAGTGGTTTCACCGTTCTCATCAGGACTCCCACCGAATCCAACGGTAGAGTCGCATTGTTCACGTTCGCAATATGAACAACCGGCTTCTAAAGCTTCGATACCATCGTAGCCTTTATTTAATAAATCCCAAGCTGAAATTAAAAGATATAAATAAAATATATTTTTTTTTAAATTAAACTAACCTATTTGACATGGCTCTAAAGAAAATCCCCAAGTTCCAATCACAATGGGATATTCGCTTAAAGAAACTTTAATTATACACAAAAGAATCAAAAATTTAAACATTTTTGTTGTTAAATTTAAATCTATCGCGTAATAAAAGATAATATTATCAATTTAATTTTATTTTAGGTTATGTGAGGTTATGTTAACATAATAAAATTATTATTTTCACCTGCACAACTTTCGACGATCTAAAAAAGGAGTATCGAAGATAGGTTAATGTTCACTATTATAGATAAAGCTGAGGAAAATAACGACGAAGTCGTTAAGATAAACGATTCCTGATTAAACATGATAAGGAAGCAATCGGAGAATTTTTATTTAGTACTTAGCAGGTATTATCAATTGTGAATTAACGAATTTCAATGTTATATTATAATTTTAGACAATGCAGTTAAAAAGATATAATTATAACATTTAATAAATATTTATGGATTATACTGTAGGATAAAATTTGCAAAATCTCTAAGAAAACATAATAAGGTTTTTAAGATGAAGAAATTAGAGTAATCTTCATTTCTAAGCGAAATATGTACGATTAATTCTTTTAGAAGTCTTTTGAAAGTATAGCACAATGTTTTTTCGGCGCTTTGTTGCTAAAATAAAGAAATGAGTCAACTTAACCCAACTCCCAAACAACTCAGCTTGAACTAATCGTTATTAAAGTAGATATGTGGCCAGATTGGGACATAACTACAAAGAAATTTAATCCCAAACATGTTAATAAATCCCTAAAGCGACTCGAGTACAGAATAACAACCACCAAGTAAAGCAAATCTATATAACTAATACTAAGATTACAAAGTAAGCTGAATGAACCTCAATGATTCTCAAGTTAAAAGTAACTCGCAAAGTAATCCAACTTTAAAGCAAGGCTCAAAACAGGTCAATACAACCACAAAATAGCTTAACCCCAAAGCAAGTAAGTCAATGATTTAATATCAAAACAAAAGGATGTAAAGTTTAGGAGTCTGATGAGCTATATCCGATAAAGCTAAAGTGGGTAAAGAGAGATTGGAAGACAATTTTTGATTTTCAATTTATGTTTTCAACAATTAAAGCAGTTTCATCATTGATTATACTACTCCAGATTGCTAACTATATGTATAAAATCGGCAACTGTATATGTTGGGTTGCATCACGCACTGTTTATTCTGAAGATAAGTGAGATAGAGTCATAATAAGAAAAGAGATGATCTGAAAAAGTTTTCTTCATCTCTCTCATTATCCGAGGAATAAAATGCTTTCACTTTGCTCAAGGGTTTAATGTTTAAGGGTCGATAGCTAACAATTAATACATAAAGTTCATTGGTGTTACTTAGATACAATTGTTACTATTTAAAATTCTCCTTAGAAAGAATCTTAAAAACGCACCAAAATGAAGTAGGACTAATAAACATTTTACTGAAGGAAATAATAACAATCTTTAAATGTGGAAATGTCTTTTAGTGTATCTTGTTTAGTGATTTGATGGCGTGAATTGGCGCACGCATCTATTAAAGAAAAAAAAATTAAATAAAATAAAAGTTATGTAAAGCAAACGCTAGGGCCTGCGTGCCTAACCGTGGGATCAACTATTGAAACAAATTATGAAAGAAATAAATAAATATAATCTATTTAAATAAATTAAAGAAAAAATACAATATTTAAGGCATATATTCGAACATAGACGCTACAATACTAATTATTATAAATTATCTTATCGCATATAACTGTAATAACGACTACTTACATAAACTAATTTAGGTACTAAAATAAAAATAAAAAATTCTTATTAGCGGTAATGGTGAGGAAAACGAGAATAAATAAAGAAAACTTAGCGTAAATCTAGCTTAAACTATGGGCACAAACGAGAGAAGAATCATGTTTAAAGAATCTGCCAGTTCCAAGATTCCGGAGGAGACTGAAAGCTATTGTCACGGAAAATCCGATATATACCATTGACATGTTTTTCCAATTTAATGTTTGAATTCAATTTGTATTATATCACAATGTAATTATTGTTAAAATGGAGAAATAAAATATTATTATTAAAATATTAAAAATATTATTCCTTGTGGAAAATATATTGAATACTTCCATATCTTGAACTAGTGTACCATATGTACATATGAATAGAACATTCGTGCAAAATTATTTAATTTTAAAATAGTATTATTTAAGTGTTTGCCGAACCTATCCTTTGATATCGACTCCTTCCGCTGACAGAATGAGAGTCATTCGGCTTGGGCATACAGCATATNCAGGGACTAAAAACGAAAAGTATTTTGTTCGTTTCCGATCAGAACGAAAACGAAAAATTTCGTTTTCGTTCTTTTCGTTCACACCCAAAAAATATCGTTTTCGTTTTCGTGAACCGAAATGAAATAACGGTTAAAACCGGTTTTTGACTATTTTTCTAATAAAAGTATGCCAACATGCTTTTTTTAAATTTTTTTTATATTTGACAAATAAGTCACTTATCATAATTTTAATCATAGCTGGCAAAAATTACTAACATAAAATTTATGCTTTTAAAAACTTAAATGTAAAAAATTTCATTTAAGTGATGATGGCATTTTTGCTTTTTATAAATATTAAAAATAAAATTTAGAATGAATTGTTTGGGACCGTTTCTGTATTGGAGAGACACGAATCTGTTTTAGTTTTTTTCATTTATTCCCATTAAATTTAGTTACTTGAAAACCACGCACAAACTGCTATGCAGTTTAGTGGTATGCCAGTGACAGATTTTTTTTGTTTTTTTTGCTTCATATTTTAAATAATAATATTTGTTTCTTTTCTCTCTGATCTTGCTTTATTTCAATTAACTTTTACTTATTTAAAAATTTTGTGTCATGGTTAATTTTTGGTTATTTGTAAATAAAGTTATTATAATTAAAAATAAGAGAAAAAAATTGTTAACATATTTATTTTATAGTAAAAATATATATGAATAATTCAGCATTCCAAAATAAATAAAAGTTTTAGTTAATTAAACTAAAGATATATTCTAAAGTAAATCACAGGATAATTATTAATTTTAGTATACAGGGTGTATCTGAATGACTGCAACAAACTTCAGGGATGATTGTTTAGAGAATTTTAAGGGTACTTTGATATGTGAACCATGAGCGACTTCGACTCCCCTAAGGAGCTACACCCCTTCAAAAATGGCGGAAAATTTTGGTTTAATTTTCTTTTCTCAAAAACCAGATCACCAGAACGC